CTTTAGCGACAGTGCAACCAGCGCTGTCTATTGTTTTGTGGTAAGGGTTGGAGGGGAGCGGCGTGGTGTCATCTCACGAAATGATTTTTGTGCCAAAACGACGACTCAGCAAACGTGGAACGTTGGGCCAATGTTGGTTCATCGGTTAGTTCCAACCGCAATGTTTTACTGGGGGAGCGTCACATCCAGTTTTCATACCCCTCAACCAATAAGGGTTCCTCGTAGCCTTGTACAGCGAAGTGGAGTTTTCTTGTCCACACGGTGTGTACAGCCGTTTCAATACGGGTAAACATGTTTTTGTTGTCTATTTGTTTGTATTTCTCCTTTGTGACGGGACTTTGTAGGATGAACTTTGAGATTTAAAAGGGCACGGGGTGACCAATAAGGTCTGAATTGGTCTGTAATAAGGTAGGCACTGATAAGGGGTTGACAAGTATAAGTTGTTTGGGACAAGGACATGTTGCAGGTGTAAAGTAAACATCTGTATGAGTTTAACTCTGTGTGATACTTGGCCAATAGTCCAGCAACACAATTTAAGGAGTTGACAACGCTGTCCAGAACTGTCGCACGACGAAGCAGTAGTATCCAGTCGCTAAATAACGCGTGCGGTAGTGTAGTGCCCTGCTTGCCGCAAAACAACTCCTACCTCACTAACATAAAACTGGACATTAAGGCATGTGCTCATACTCATTCCACTCATCCAGGTGCCACCCTGGTTCCCTTTGATGCACTTTTTGAGATCACAAATCAGAATCTCTATTTAGAATGGCAGACTCCGGTGAGCCTTGAAGTTATTTTCCACGGATGTCCGGTAGATGCCACCAACAACCACGTGGCCTGCAGACACAATCTCCAGAGCCGCAGAGGGCCACGTGTGAGACCAATACATCTGTGCGTGTGGAGCGAGCTGCGTTTCGAATTTGAGCTACAGATTTAACGATTTTGGCTCTTGCCCGCTTACGATTTTAATATCCACCACTAATTCCAGTAAATGGCTCATGCCGACTGTTGACTGTTAACCTTGTTGCGCTGCTGTTTCGCTCCGTCAAAGAGAGGAACGCAGGTCAGGTTTCTACTCGGGCCAGCCTACATCTCACTGGCGCCTAAAGAGGGCAGCATAGACGTAATGGAACCGGTTAACACGTGACCGTGTTTCTAAGTGTTGTGTAAAAATGACACGGTTCATGACCAATTTGAGGAGTACATATTGTGTACTCAAGTTACGCCAGGAGTATACGCCGGGGCGACGCACAGGTATCCGCCAACGCCAACAAGTATCCCAACTGGCAAAGGTGCCGTGTCCAGTTCTACAATAAATATATCCCTTCCCCCGTTTGTCATTTCCTTAATTGCCAAAGGGATGGAAATTACTCGGACTTTGCATTGGTAATGCGGATGAAATATGTTTCCAGAGTAAGTCGGCATGGTATGATGATAAAATGATGATGGTGATGGCCAGGAAAATTATTCCAGTATCCTTTTTTTTTTTAGTAATCAAGCACAAGTCTCAGGGTTGAACAAGTGTCTATTGTGAGCAGGCAGACACCATGTTGACGATACAGCTGAAGATTCACAACAATCTGTAAAATTAAGTATACAGCATGTGTAGTATTTGTAAAACACTTCCTTGACATCCTACATTGTGAGTGGAAACAATCACATGGTCAGGAGCTGCTGAAATGTCTCACAGAAACGGCATCCGGATTTGAGCAAAACATCAAAGCAAAACTCGCTTTTAGGTGACACGTGACGTCACTCGCAAAGCGATGTGCTCGAGCGGTGTTCTGCATTGCAAGCCCCGCGGGCCACTTTCGGCCCCTGGTGGCCTTTAGTGCGGCCCCTGACGTACGGCCCCCGACAATAGACGACATGTGAAAGCAACCCCTTGCAGGCGGTGTGGCGGCAACTGGCACTGATGATATCTCATCGGCAAAAGTGGCCCGCCTCTGAAAATTAGCGAAGAAGACTGTGCTGGAGAAACCATCAAATGAGCCATAATACACGGTCATGCGCACAGTTACCTAGGTTATTGATAATTCAGTGGGTTGAAGAGCGATGTAGAGAGCATGTTTTACAGGAACAGAGGATTCTGTACATCTTGTGTACAGCAAAGTGCTCTTGTGTGATCTGGAGCTCACACGCAGGGTTTCATAGCAGCACTCAAACAAAATAATCGATGAGTGGAGAAAAACAACCAAACTCAGAGTGAACCCAATGAGTTATGAAGCAGTAGAGTTCATGAGCACGAATTAAATTTTGCTGCACAAGCTTTCAAATGTTTAATTTAACAACTTTCCACGAGCTAAAGTGAAATAGATCAGTAGTGCACATTCGCATCGATGAAGATGAACACGTGATTGTATTAGTTTGGTCATCGAATTCACCATAGGGTTGCCACCTGCCCTGATTTTCCCATGCCGTCCTTTTTAAGCTGGCTGCCCTGTGGCATATGTACGTTTTAATACGCCGCGCAAGATGATGCGTGTAGTTCTCCATTCTCACAGTTTTGTGAAACATTCTCATGGCTTTCCAGGGGAGGAAGGTAGCACCCCAGAGGTAACAACCATTGCTCACCAAAGTGTCCACACTGTATTCATTCATACTCTTTGGGTCTTTCGGTAAAATCACGTAGATAGAAAATTATATAATAATAAAAAATCACGACGTTTCGATCGCAACACATGCAATCGTCTTCAGGTAAAAGAAATACAGCAGGCGGACTGCTGAGGCAGGAAGAAATGTAGCTAAAGAGCTACTCTAGCCAAAGGTTATAAAGGTTTGAGATGGGTACAACCCAAGGGTAAGTGGGCGGGGCTCGAGATGGAATTTGCAAGTAAATGTAAGATCGCAGAGCTAGGTATACCTCGGCTATTGTGTTGCTAGAGATTAGCATGTCAATCTGTTAATGTAACCCCACGGCTACGGTGCTGAAGAAGCCATTGCATTGCTCGAGATTAGAAATGAACATTTCAATATGAGACGGCTCCCGCAGCAGCGGCTGTGTTAATGATGAGAGACATTCAGCCGATTATACAACGAGCCCCACCGCCGCATCGAGGAAGAGGGAGCAGCAGCTATGTTCGTGAGACATTTAGCCTGTTAATATAAAGACATTTAACAAGGTAATGTAACTCAGAGAGTCGGAAATAACTGGCTGTGATGCTTCCATCCTACTTGCCTATGCAATGGCCGATGTACACCTTGCTCTGCGATCTTACATTTACTTGCAAATTCCATCTCGAGCCCCGTCCACTTACCCTTGGGTTGTACCCATCTCAAACCTTTATAACCTTTGGCTAGAGTAGCTCTCTCGCTACATTTCTTCCTGCCTCAGCAGTCCGCCTGCTGTATTTTTTCACCTGAAAGACGATTGCTTGTGTTGCGATCGAAACGTCGTGATTTTTTTTATTATTTTATTATTTTTCTTCTAGAAGTTTTTTCTTCTTCTAGAAAAATAATAAAATAACCAAAAGAGTATGAATTCCTGCAGTCACGAAGGCTTTAAGTCAAGATGTATTCATTAATTTGAGGAACAGATTCATGATTTGTCACTTGCTCAATTACAATCTTAAATCCACCACTAATTCCTGTAAATGACCCATCCCGGCTGTTGACTTTTAGCCTTGTTGCGCTGCTAAGCTCTGGAAAAGGGAGGAATGCAGGTCAGGTTTTGTTCAGGCCAGCCGACATCTCACTGTCACCCAAAGAGGGCAGCACGAACATAATGGGACCGGTTAACGCGTGACCGGGTTTCTAAGTGTTTTGTAAAATGACACGGTCCATGAACAATTTGAGGAGTAGCAGACCATGCTTTCCCACCTGATGATGATTGCTTGTGTTGCAATCGAAACGTCGTATGCTAGTATTTCATTTATTATTTTCTCTTTATACGTGACTTTACCGAAAAAACCAAAGAGTAATTCCTGCAGTCACGAAAGCTCCAAATTAAGTATTAAGTGTGATTTATTTTCTTTTCTACTTACGTGACATTACCGAAAGAACCAAAAAAATCAAGATTGAGTACATATTGTCAGTTACTAAAGCCACAACCTAGCAGGCGTATTTCGCTATCATCAGAGGAGTTGGCAATTCAAATGCTCGTCTTCCGCGTGGCGTCTCACACTCCCTGTACAGCTCACACGGCACTTTGTTTAATCGGTGATTTTGCTCGCTCGGCACACACACAGCTGACCGTCTCGCTCCCAGGTCGTGTCCACAACAGGCGAGCATGCGGGATTGGCGACCCTTTGCCAGTGGTGAATACATCGCAAGGAACCAATGGTCATCGTGGGTGGTGGCCCTTCTGGAAGAGCGCGAGAATACCTAAGCTGACAGTGGGCGACAAGGGGCCGTCCATAAATGACGTCACGCGATTTTGGACAATTTTGGACCCCCCCTTCGTCACACGGCGACACAAAGTGTCAGACCTCCCCCCTCAAACATGACGTCACAAAGCTCTGCCCCCCCCCCAAAAAAAAAACATGCTTCAAATCGCTTTAAACTATTGTCATTGTAGTGCGTATTTAATGTGACGCTGCACTCTGATGTTGTAGGAGAAAACATTTATTAAAAAGTCTATTTCATTAAGTAGAACGTGTTGTCTATATTTATTTAAAGTTGCGCATTTTGATGTGACGTCACATTTCTCACCCCCCCCCCCCCCCTCGTCACACATCGTCACAAATGTCTGACTCCCCCCCTAGGTGCGTGACGTCATTTATGGACTGCCATAATTACTTGAGTGTCAGTACCGAGTTGATGTTTAAAGTGTTGGGCATTTAAAAAAGCAACGTATACAATGTAAGTGTTGTTTAACATGTAGTGGAAATTACGCATTGGGACATCATTTTACCTTCTTTCAATTACCCGCTTGACAGTGCAGCTTCAAGGGTGAACAGTCTGTCTTGCATTCTGCTGGTCAACAGCTCCACAATCACCTCCGCCTTGTCCCCCTCCCCCTCCAACCTCCTTGAAAACACTCACAGTTGCAGAGAAACCTCGCCGCACCTCGTCAGCCAGTCTTGCACTCGAGGAGCTTGAGAAAGCTCCGGCGAAAGCTCTCGTCTAGGAAGGCGTACAGCAGCGGGTTGAGGCAGCTGTTGGCGTAGCTCAGGCTGATGATGAAGTACGAGACGGCGATGACCATGGGCGTCTCGTTGAGGTCCACCGCCAGCGCCACGACGGTGCTCAGGTGGTAGGGAGTCCAGCAGAGCAGGCACACGCCCAGCACCACGGCCACCATCAGTGTCACCTTGCGCTTGGCCTTGTCGAGGGCGCGCGCGTTGTTGGAGCTCAGGCGGAGGCCCCTCAACTGGCGCAGCATGGACGTGTAGAGCGTGCAGATGGTGGTGACGGGGAGCACGAAGCCGGCGATGAGCGTGTAGGTGCGCACGGCGCGTAGCCACTCCGCCTCGGGGCTGGGCAGCTCCAGGCCGCAGCGCGTGCGTCGCTGTGAGTCGACGATGCCGTTGCTGGCGAACACCACGAAGGGCAACACCACGAGGCTCACGAGCGCCCAGACGGCGCCACACACCCACTTGGCCACGGCGTAGGTGCGCCACGTGAACGAGCGCGACTTGACCGTGGCGAGCACCACGAGGTAGCGGTCGATGCTCATCACGGTCAGGAAGTAGATGCTCGTGAACATGTTGTAGTGGTCGATGGCGACGATGAGCTTGCACATCGCCTGCCCGAAGGGCCACTCGAGGAGCAGGTGGTCGGCGATGTTGATGGGCAGCACCAGGGTGAAGAGCTCGTCGGCGATGGCCAGGTTGAGGATGAACATGTTGGTCACCGTTCTCATCTTGGGCGCGCGCAGGATCACGTAGATCACGGCCGTGTTGCCCAGGAGGCCCACGGCGCAAATGAACGAGTAGATGATGGGAACGACCACGTAGAAGTTGTGCTGCCCTTCGAGCTGCTGCGTGGCGTTCATCGCCACGTCGCTGATGTTCACGTCTGGGTCCGACATGTTGGGAACTTTAGCCATGGTCGCCCGTTTCTCTTCTGCGATGCCACGTTTGGCCCAAAAGCGCGGTGAGGTTCTCTTTTGAGATTAACACAATTTATGTTCTGTGCCGTCTGCTGTCATCTGATATGTCATATGGCGCGGTTGCAGCGAGCACATTGACGTGGGGATAATTCATCGGAGTATTTTAAATTAATATTTAGCTTTCTATCCATATGTAGTACTTGACCATAATGCGCAAACTTTCAAAAAAATCGTTATAAATATGGCCACAAAATGTTACCCTTTTCAAAATAGCACTCTCATTGAGATGAATGCATTTTTTTTCAAAACAAAAATCTCCCTCGGGTATTTCTTTGCAGGGATGAGCCGAAGCCTCTTCCTTGATTGACCCTTGTGCTGTAACCAACAGAAGGGATAAAACATATATAGTAGAACGCCCTGCCTTTTATACACACATGTGCACCGCAAACCATGAACCGATTGCATTAGAGTGGAAAGGCGCATCCAGAGAAGTAACAGAACAGTCTCAACTGCACATTGCATTTTGCGTGTGTTCCTAAACACGTCGTTCAATTATCGCGTAATTGTCACAGTGGGCACAGGCAAAGTAAGGAACGTTTGTAACGTCTGTGAATCATTTGAGGCGACTTGTCCGTGCCGAAAGAACAGGATAGCAAGCGATTCGACCGTTTACCTATTGACGCGCACACATGGACACACGTGTTACAAAAAAGGAAAAAAATATCACCCAGATCGCTTTTCTAGACTGCTGGGAGCAAGTGCTGTTCGAGAGAAACCCACTCAGGAGTGAATGACGCACGATAGTTGCTGTGGTCAGCCCTGCATCTGGATGCCTCTTGCCTGCCCAACGCTGACGTTTAACGCAATGCAGCCGGACTTATAAGAGACCGAAGGGACGGTACAGATATCACTCCCCACTTATGTTAGCTGGAGCTAGAAATCGAACTCAGGTCACCGGGTAAATTAGGTGGGGTGATAAACAAAGCTTTGCGATGCACTAATTCACAAAATTAAAATTAACGGGTCTGTGTGTTTTTTTCTTCTTCTCTCTCCATTAGGTGACTGCGTATTTTTAGCACCTTGTCCAGATTTCATTAAAACAGTCGTTGATACACGCAATCCTAATGCGGGAAAGATTGCGCGCTCAAATTCGGCACATCCATCAGAAGTGGAATTAATACAGGGCAAAGTTGGCAATGTGCGGCAAACCCGCAAGCGTCACAATCACAAATAATCTGGCGCATTATTTCACGCAGGCTGTTAAAGTGAACAGAATGCTGATCTCTGCGAGCATTGGTAACAGATCAGTTTTCTCTTGCGACAACATAATAAACGGGACGATATGCATTCATGTCCACAACCGAAGGCGTTACGCAAATGACAAGCAGGTGGGAATTGATGAGACGTAACTCAAGCAAGGGTTGCTCATGGCCATCACCAAGGAATTTTAAACAGCTAAAAATAAGTGGTGCATTCCAGCAATGGTAAAAATGCAAGCAGCTACGCTCTTCCATAATTTGTCACGCTGGACTGAAGATCTTTGCACTCGCCCTGTTGCAATAAGGTTAATCACACGTGTATGTATATATGTCGAACTTATTTCGCAACCGTACGTAGCCAACCGTGCTGATCGTAGGTGCGGGGAACACAATGCTTGTAGGAGACCACGCGTAGTGAGTGGTGCGGCGTTGTGAGCATGGGCCCCGGTGCAAGGAGTGATTTCGAGAATGTAAATAAGCCCACCTTGTCTAAATCCACTCCCCCTTCGTGGCCCGGTGCCTTTGTCCCTGCAGCCCATGGGCCCCATTGCAGATGTACCGTCTGTTTACTTGATACCTACGCCACCGATGCCCAGGGCCGGACTAAAGCACGGGGCTTTAGGGGCTGCATCCCAGGGGCCTTCGCCAGCTGGAGGGCCTCCAGAGATGAAGTGAAAAGTTATTTCATTTGTGAATGCTGCATTTTATTTGTTGTTAGCCTCGTAAAAATAGATTTTATTTTTCTTTAACTTTGTTTTCCTTTTGAACAAATTACTGGGGGCTTCACAGTACCTGGAGCTCAGGGGCCTACACGATCTTCATCCGGCCCTGCTGATGCCCAACATCCCAAAGCTTCGTCGAGAGCAGCAATTAAGAATGGTACGTTACAATTATCTTCCATAGGCGTCGTTGAAGCTGCCACTTATAAGCTGTAACTCGTGAAGGCTGACAAACAAAGCGCCATCGTCTATCGCTCGGACGAGCTTTCGCGTTGTGTGCCGCATTGATCGGCACAATGTGCAATGTTGTGCTCCGCATGTGCACGCGTGCACACCTGCGCAGGAGAATATCACCCTCACTGGGCACACGTGTATCGGCGTCTCATGTAAAATGTTTGCGTTTACGCTCTCTCGTGTATCGCCTCACACTCCTCCACCCTGCGTCCTCTACTCCCAACAAGCAAGCTCTGCTCCCATTTCAATGCCGTAAAATCTCGCACTCAAAAGGCGGGCCGTGTCTTTTACCTCTTACTCTTAGTTTTTTTTCCCGGTAAAGTCACGTAGGTAAAAATAATAATAAAGATAAAATCAAATTATAATACATGAAAATAACTCAAATAAAATGTACCTCTGTTTTACCGTGCCCCGAATCTGTCGGGATCTATTTTGCCCTGTGTTGTCTCTACATAGCAATCTGAATTGGCCAGATTGTGCTGCACAATTGATCTGCTTTGCTACACTATTACCCTGCTTTGTGTTACACATTCTTGATCGCATTCCTATCGTGGCCTGACGTATTTTTGTGCCGTTGATGTTATCATCCTCATTGACCGGGCGTGGTGAAGTATGGCTAAATAAACCTCCATGACCAAAATCGACGTGGGAGCATTCATTCAGCAGCGGATTGACAAAGCGATGTGCATACGTACTTATAAAAGGCGCGGTGTGAAACGCATCCATTAAATGCGTAGATGGATAATACAATCGGCGAGTGTAAGTGGAACGTGCTGATTTGTGTGTCTAATGTCTGATAAACGTAATTGCAGCCATTTCAATCGGGAAAGTGGCCTAACGGAAACACTGTCATGAATCCGAATACTCTGAAGCGCTCACGTATTACTTGACATGATACTAGGGCCTGGATACAGCTCACTCTCATATAAGTTAACTTCAAATTCTAAACAAGGTCCATCCAGCCTCATTGCCATATTCATCCTCGCTCTTTTAGGGTCGATAAAACTAGTCTTATTTGGTGAGGCTGTAGACACTTGATGTGACGCAAACAGCGGTTGTCCAATGCGTGGACCTCTTCTTTCGTATGGATTAATAGCAGCAGATTAAAGATGCAATTTTAGATTTGGTATCCACTCACTTGTCTGTTCAGACGCAGAGTGGATCTCGTCCACTCCTTTAAAGTTAGTGAAGACAGCGGAGTGTTTACAATGCGGGTCGATGGTTTTGCGATTCGTGGCCGCACTCCCAGGCCGCCGAATCTTTGATGCGCCGTTTGTGGCATCAGGTGGCCGCATCGCCCATGGACTGATCTCTGCCATAGGAATCTTCTGCCTATTGGCTAAGGGCCGTCGAAACGATTGGTAAATCGTGACTTGGGTACTACTAAAAATCTTGATCACGTCATGGTGATCGAAGCACAAATGCAATACGCCCTGCTAATATTGTAACTTAGTCATATTTGTGACAAGGGAAGCAGAGGTCAAAAGTAGAAACGCGCCCCCCTAGAGGTAGTTGGCCGTGCAGATGCAGCAATGATCCCGACTGATGTGCGAGATCGCTCGGTGGTTGTGTCATTGCACTGCTGCTGATGATGATGTCTTCACTTTGTTTTATAGATTTACAATTAAAAAGCCCCATGGGCTGCCCCACAGCAATGCCAACGTTGAGCCAGGAATGTGGACAAATGTCTGGGCTCGAACTGGAATAAAAATTGTGGATGCTTTTTTTGGAGCACCACTTGCATTTTTCACACACACACATACACACCCACAGAGAGACCATTGCAGGACTCACGCAATTCGAGATAACACGAGCGTCTCGTGTGTATGTTAATTAATTGGTGAAAATGCTCGATTAGCATATAAAATAACTACGTAATGTGTTAAGCTCGGTGCAACAACAATTTACAGCGTGAAACGACTGCTGGATGAAGACTTCCGACCATTGTGTCGGTTTTTGACTACGACCGACAAGATAAATTATGTAATTGAAAACCGCTGATGAATCAACATATATCTCGTAACGAATTAGTCTGCAAAGAGGAAAAGAACAAACGCACGTGGTCAACAAAAAAAACATTTTTTTTTTTCTGGCCTGGACTTTTGCAGCTGTTTTAGACTAATTTCATGGTGCTGATTCCAAATCTGATCTCAGATTTGCTCTACCATATCTCATTTTTATGCTATCGGCATACCCAATTTTCATTGATTTTACCCGAAATTAACTCTGTCACTTATGATTGCAAGTTGTTGCGAGTCAGTGACTGCTTTAGTGTTAAAATATGGTGATGTATTTTAGGATAGTATGTTTATAATATCATTTTATGTAGATATCCACATTTATTTAATATTTTTCTTCTGCAGTTTTTATTGAAAATGCAATATTTGATATCTTAAAAACCTGATGTGATAGACAAAAACTGATGCCAGATTTGGAATCAGCACCCCAAAATTACATTAAAACCGTTGGAATACCTTATGCCAGAAAAAGTGTGTTGACCAGTGTAATGATTGTGAATAAAGGCAGCGTCGCTCAGAAGGGATGATGGCCGGTGGTCGAGACGACGGCAGCTCGAGGAGGGAAGACGCCCGGCAGGATTGAGCCTCGTGGAGCAATGAGATCAGCTCCTGTGCAGGAGCTAAGATGGATTTTATCACGGGGCCTTTTTTTACTGTATAAAAGTATGAAAAATGAGATTAGGGTTTACCATTTTTTTGGCAATAAATCAGGTGTTAAGATGTTCAAACACCAAATAGATAGGTTGTCTCTGGTGCAGGCCAATCGG